GGGGGAGCAACCTCCTCCTCTCGTGGAGGATTGTCTTCGTGTTGGTTCATGGATCGAGTAGTGATCGCCATTAGTTAATGGATGTAATGTTCAGGAGTGAGAATTTTGTCGATTCCCACAGACGGCGCCAAACTGATGATGCACAAAAATGGTTTTGCACACCACCTGTCAAGTGTAGATAATAAATGCAATGAAATCAGTTGTCAGGTTCGGTCAATTCGACCTACGTCCACTCTTCAATGGCTTCAGTTGCCAGGTATTTNTAGAATGATCATGGAAGTGGCTTCCATGCCCCATGCTTTGATTTTTACCCTCATCCTCCTGGAGATAAGGGTCCTCTCCCTGGAAAGCAAGGGGAGAGGGAGGTGCAGCTCCCTCATGTTGGGCTTCCCGAAGTGGGGTGCCCAATGGGGCACCCGGGCGTGGAGCAACAGGGCGTGGTGCTTCTTGATGTCCAGGATGTGGAGCTCCTTGGGGTGCTCTATGTTGTGCACCTCCGTGGGGCCCTCCATGTTGTGCACCTCCGTGTGGTGCTCCACGTTGTGCACCTCCGTGTGGTGCTCCACCTTGGGGTCCTCCATGTTGTGCACCTCCGTGTGGTGCTCCTCCTTGTCCAGCAAGTATGAGTTGCAGTAACTGTTGGTTTTGAGCAACCAGTTGCTGCATGGTCTCCAATATTTGTTGGGGATTCGGGGCTAGAGTATCCGGAACAGGGTTGATAGGCGGGGGGGCAACCTCCTCCTCTCGTGGAGGATTGTCTTCGTGTTGGTTCATGGATCGAGTAGTGATCGCCATTAGTTAATGGATGTAATGTTCAGGAGTGAGAATTTTGTCGATTCCCACAGACGGCGCCAAACTGATGATGCACAAAAATGGTTTTGCACACCACCTGTCAAGTGTAGATAATAAATGCAATGAAATCAATGAGAAAATTAAAGAAGACACAATTTATAGTGGTTCGGTCAATTCGACCTACGTCCACTCTTCAATGGCTTCAGTTGCCAGGTATTTTATTGATTCAAAGGTATGAAGAATAGAGATACAAGCTTTGAGAGAGAGAATGGAGAATCGAAGAAATAGTGATCTCCGGTAGTCGGTTCGTCCTCTGTAAGTCTCTGGTGGGGCGTGACCTTTTTTCTCCGTCTCCTCCAGATTGGGGCTACTTTATAACAGCTAAGAGATCATTCTTGTCGAGATCATGACTTATCCTCAAGACTACTTTATCGCAGCTAAGAGATCATTTTGGTGGAGATCATGACTTATCCTCAAGGCTACTTTATCGCAGCTAAGAGATCATTCTGGTGGAGATCATGACCTATCCTCAACGGAAGGAGGAGGTTGGGGAGCTCTTCATGAAACGTGGTCAAAGCTTGGACCGTTTCCTTCGGTGGTGCAGATAAGCTTCTCATGCTCTCCTCTTGATGACGTGCTAAGCAAAAAGTCTAACCGGTCTTGGACTGTCTTGGACTTGGTAGATTCAAAATGAGGTTGGGCTCCTCAATTGGAGTTGGACTTTAACACATAAATTGGACTATTTGGGCTTAACCCATCAGTGGTAATTCCCGAGTCATTGACTTACCAATAATACGATAACATATAAATTTAGCAAACCTCCTCCATCCATGATTCTGCTCTGCAGCAACTTGAAGATATAAAAACCAAGACGCCACGTCCTTCAGAACGTTTTGTATGTGGTTAAGCATAATAAATAATGAATCAATTTAAATAATACTAATAAAATAAGGTGCCTTATCAACTTGAATGAATCGTCTTGAAAAGGATGTCACAGATATTACAAGATAAAAGAAAAATCACACGTTCAAAGATGTTGCAACTTGCAACCGTTGGGAATGTCATAAAATCATGGGTTTTTCTTATGCTATCATGAATGTTGCAACGTAGTCTTTTGTTAGTTTCCGTCATTTCTTTTTATCAAAAATCAACTTACAACACTTTTGGTACATTAAAAATACAACGTAAAAAATTTAATCTTTGGTGATACAAAGTGAGAATCTCAAAATTTTTTAATGTGCAAAATACAATTCGCCCTANAAAAATACAACGTAAAAAATTTAATCTTTGATGATACAAAGTGAGAATCTCAAAATTTTTTAATGTGCAAAATACAATTCGCCCTAAGATCAAAGAAAACTAAAAATTGAAGATTTCGACTTAATAACTCTCTCACACCGACACCAACATACACACGCACGTAGACCCAAAGAGATTTAACGAAAAGATTGCAAGTCAACAAGTGAGTTGTTGTGGGACCACTACGTGTTGGAACAACATAAAATTTCATCCACAAACAAACTTGTAGGTTGAATTTTAGAGCTCGAATCCTTTGAAGTTAGGTTGAATTTTAGAGCTCGACCCAACAAAATTGTACGAGAAGACTTGGGATTAAAATTTCATCCACAACTGAATGTTACAGACCTTACGTCTCATCAGTGGAAAGAAAGGACAGAATCCCGAAAGCAATGAAAAGAACTCCACCTGAGAGTGCAACCTGCATGAGAATCAACACGACATTGTTGTCACAAATGCTTACCGTGGCTCGGGCATGCACATGCTCACTCGCACTAGAAACCAAACAAACAAACAAATACACACAGATATATGTAGAAAGAATAAGAGTGATTACCATTCTCTCAGATATCTGAGACGCCAAGTTCTTTCCTCCCAAGACTGCCAGGGTAGTGCAAAAACTTGTCCTCTGGGGAAGGAAAACAAAACTTCAACATAATCAGTGAGGAAAAATCAAATGAATGCTCTTCCTACATGNTGTCCTCTGGGGAAGGAAAACAAAACTTCAACATAATCAGTGAGGAAAAAATCAAATGAATGCTCTTCCTACATGCAGAAACAGAAACAGAAACAGAAACATAGTAACAAAGCATAGCGCGGTGATGCGGAGGTCACTGAGATGGAGAAATAATTAATTCAGAATTAATGCTGGGGCAGATAACACAGTCCAGAAGACTGAGAAAAACCTGAAAGAAGGCAGAAGCCTAGGAAATATTGGCGCAGTCAATACGTTAGGCCCAAAATTTATGGTTGCACACACTACTAACAAAAGATCCAAAGAATCCAATTTATGCAACTTTATTTGCCAGGGCTCCACCGGTCGCGGCGTCGCGAAGCGGTATCGGGCAATACGACCTAAAAAAAAATATTAAACATAACGAGAGAATTAAGTCATACCACGGCGTCGCTGAACCGTATTGGTCAATTCAATGATAATAACTCAACGACTCGGAATTGACTCAAATACAATCCAAATGATTCGGCCGAGTCATGCGAGACTCAAGGTTTATACGTATCGTGTGTATTGGTATTGACCGACACTTTAAACCATGATCTGATGTTAGTCAATAGTTGATTGAGTAAAATAAAGAAAATTCATTGACCCACCAAAAGTTTATGCTAATAATGGAAATTAATAAGGTAATGTAGACCGAGATCTTGTCATCCTGAGCATAGCTCAAGGTCACAGTATGGCCACCAATTCGAAAAGCTCTGAGACATATCGATCACAATGTCACGTCGTGGTATCAGGCAATACGACCTAAAAGAAGTTAAAANCCAATCAACTTGGAAAGAAAACTTCCGTTGTTAGCTGCCTCATTCTATTCATCAGACCAAACTAAGGCCAGGAATTTTGTGGGCATTTCGTTCGTCCATTGCTCTTCTCACACTCTCAGAATCAGAATGCCTACTGGCACCAGCAAAAATATTGGACAAAAGCACATAGTCACCACCATATTCTTTCTGCATGTCCAGTATCTTCTGCGTGACTCTCTCTCCCACCTCAATGTTTCCATGGAAGCTACAAGCACCCAAAAGCGTCCTCCAGATCACAGCATTAACCATTTCCACAGGAATATCCAAAGCCATATTTTCCGCTTCGTCAAGCCTCCCTGCACGACCCAACATATCTATCAAGCACCCATAATGCTTAATGTCTGGTACAACACCACACTTGTCCACCATTTTTTTGAAAAATTCAAGCCCCTCATCAATCAGGCCTCCATGACTACATGCATTTAACACACTCAAGAATGTAACTCGATTTGGCTTCATACATGCATTTTCCATTCTTTTAAAACTATCCGCAGCTTCTTTTCCCATTCCATGCATTGCAAACCCAGATATTATTGACGTCCACGACACCACGTTCCTCCTCTCATCAGACATATCCTCAAAAACTCGAATTGCACTCTCTACGCACCCACATTTTGTATATGCATCAATAAGAGAATTCATAACACGAATATCAGACGCATTAAACCCACTTTTGTCTCCATAAGAATGGATTATTTGGCAAGATTCAAGGCGCCTGAGATTCCAAATAGCCGGAAAAACAGCAAGAATAGTTACTTCTGTTGGTTTAATTCCCTCATTCACAACCATTCTCCGAAACAAGGCCAAAGCTCCATTATAGTGGTTCATCCGCGTGTACCCATCAATAAGACCAGTCCATGAAACCACATTCTTTATTGGCATCACATCAAAGAGATATTGAGCAACACCAAGCTCACCCCACTTTATGAAACCCGTAATCAAAACGTTCCATGTCACCGAGTTTCTGTCAGGCATTTCATCAAACACTTTCTGAGCTGGCTTCAAATACCCACAATCAGCATACATGTTAACCAAAGCAGTTTGCACGTAAACGTGGAACTCGAAGCCTGCTTTGATAGTGAGACCATGGAGTTGAATACCTATTCTGGGTCGCTGTACATTAGCGCAGGCTTTTATAAGGAAAGAGTAAGTGAAGCTATCAAAAGAGATGGTTTGGTATTGGTTTTGGTGTTGGTGTTGTATGTGTTTGAAGAGTAAGAGAGCTTCTTCAGGGACGTGACTAAGTGAATAGTGGCGGAGCAGAGTGTTAAAGATTGTCAAGATTGGGGTTGTGGTGGATAGACCTGAGAGTAAGTTGGTGGTGATTAGTTGAGTGTGGACTTGTTGAATGGCTGGTCTGCTGTGGTGTCTGAATAAGAGAGAAAGCAAGTGGTAGCAATGCTTGTGCGTCATTTCCTAGGAAGCACGGATACTCCAAGCAAACACATCAAACAAAGTGCGAAAATAGAACCTGAAATAGCCATAGCAAGTACACAACTATCAACCGACCACTGAAAATTAACACCAATCCAATCAATAGCAGAAGCCTCACATGAACCGGCAACAGCAATGGCAGAGCTCCCCATAAGTACCCACATACCCTAATTTCTTCCAGATTTCAATTACAACTCTAGGACCTATGGTCGGAGCGAAACCAAAATGTTATTACCAATCTGCCGAGATTTAGGAAATTTAGAGAGAATCTAGGGGAGAGAGATGACCGAAGTGCAGAGAGTTTTCGCCTTCAAGAGAAATGGGAAGAAAAGGGCGATAAAAAAATAAAAAAGATAGAAGGCTTTGGCAATTGTATCTCCACTTGAGACACCTTCTTAGTAAGGAAAACAATACGGGTTACTCCCGCTTCACAAATATTCATTCTCATTTTATTTAATTTTTTATTATTAAATTATTAAATTTATTCTTTCTATATCCACTCTATTAATAACTAAATTCACTCACATTGTATACACCCATTTTAAAAAAAAAAGAACAAAACAAAGAAAAAATAAAAATATTAACATGTATCTTACTGAAAAAATTCATACAACAAACATGAAATCAAATATATAATTATATTAAAAAGTAATACTAACACGTATTTCACTGAAAAAATTCATATTATAAAAATATTTTTGTAAGTGCATGAGATGAGATAGAGAATAAAATCCTAATTATAACAAAATATAAAGTAGCTTTACTTATTAAATAGGTGTATATAACATGGAGTTGACTTAGTTACTAATAGAGTAAGTATAAAAAGGGGTGACTCTAGTAGTTTCATGATAAAAAAATAAATTATAAAAAGGGGTGACTCTAGTAGTTTCATGATAAAAAAATAAATGGATTAAGAATGGAGATTTATGGGAGTGGGAATAGCACTCAAACAAAACACACTTCGGTATGGAGAACCAAAAAAGTGAGGTAATGGTTGGTTTGTGTTTACAATTTTTTGTTCTCAAAATTCTAAAAATAAAGAAAATATGTTTGGTTAGATTTTTTTAATCTCTAATTTTCATTAAAAAGTGAGAATTGAGATGAAGTTTTAGAGAATAAATGTTGGGTGTTTTTGCCAAATTTGGGAATCGATTTTTTGAAAAAACAATACTACAAAATTCAAATAAAATTCAAAAAATTATATCCCAAATGCATATCACTTCTTATATGAGTAGATTCATTAACTTTTACAATAAGACTCNTTCATTAAAAAGTGAGAATTGAGATGAAGTTTTAGAGAATAAATGTTGGGTGTTTTGGCCAAATTTGGGAATCGAGTTTTTGAAAAAACAATACTATAAAATTCAAATAAAATTCAAAAAATTATATCTCAAATGCATATCACTTCTTATATGAGTAGATTCATTAACTTTTACAATAAGACTCACTCACCCAACATTCATTCATGAGATAGTATGCATTTGGATTTCAACTTTTGGATTTTATTTGGGTTGTGTAGAATATTTGGCCGAGAGTACTCTTTTTAGAACTTATTTGGCTTTAAATACCACAGTCAGACTTATACTCCATTAAGTCCTCTTTTTCATCAAATTATTTTCATTTCGTACACATTTCAAATTTTTTTTTGCATTACCTAATTACCCCCTATCATAAATATTTCTTATCATTATTAGTTTCAATACTTTCAAATATAACAACTCAAAAATTGAGAATTGTGACAGCATTAAAATTATTTTTCTATTATATATATATATATTCAACAAAAAAATAATAATATCAAACAGTAACATGTTCAACAAAAAAATAGTAACATCAAACAATAACATGCTCAATGAAAAACTTAATTACAAATTTAATTATTGCAATAGAATGACATCATATGTAAATACTTAAAACTATTGTCTTGTCCACAAATTTAATTGATCATGTTTGTACCTTGGTGATTTTTAGACTTGTCACTGTTAAGATATAAGTCACTTTTTGTATTTTACTCAAAATTATTGAACAATGTTGATATTGTTCGAAAGGGGTGTTTTTATAAGAAACTTTATGAATTATTTTTTAAAAAATAGAGGGTTCAAATTTTATTGATTAACAATTTTTCTTAATTTTTTTAATTGATTTTTTTTTATTATTATATATTGTCTTCAGACATAAGAATTTATTTGTTACGTAGTATCTTTACGTAGAGACAATTGCTAGTAAATATATGTTATTGTTTCCTAGAGTACATAAATGACAAATNCTGTAATCTGTTTTGTACATGGTCAGTTCCAATCAACTTGGAAAGAAAACTTCCGTTGTTAGCTGCCTCATTCTATTCATCAGACCAAACTAAGGCCAGGAATTTTGTGGGCATTTCGTTCGTCCATTGCTCTTCTCACACTCTCAGAATCAGAATGCCTACTGGCACCAGCAAAAATATTGGACAAAAGCACATAGTCACCACCATATTCTTTCTGCATGTCCAGTATCTTCTGCGTGACTCTCTCTCCCACCTCAATGTTTCCATGGAAGCTACAAGCACCCAAAAGCGTCCTCCAGATCACAGCATTAACCATTTCCACAGGAATATCCAAAGCCATATTTTCCGCTTCGTCAAGCCTCCCTGCACGACCCAACATATCTATCAAGCACCCATAATGCTTAATGTCTGGTACAACACCACACTTGTCCACCATTTTTTTGAAAAATTCAAGCCCCTCATCAATCAGGCCTCCATGACTACATGCATTTAACACACTCAAGAATGTAACTCGATTTGGCTTCATACATGCATTTTCCATTCTTTTAAAACTATCCGCAGCTTCTTTTCCCATTCCATGCATTGCAAACCCAGATATTATTGACGTCCACGACACCACGTTCCTCCTCTCATCAGACATATCCTCAAAAACTCGAATTGCACTCTCTACGCACCCACATTTTGTATATGCATCAATAAGAGAATTCATAACACGAATATCAGACGCATTAAACCCACTTTTGTCTCCATAAGAATGGATTATTTGGCAAGATTCAAGGCGCCTGAGATTCCAAATAGCCGGAAAAACAGCAAGAATAGTTACTTCTGTTGGTTTAATTCCCTCATTCACAACCATTCTCCGAAACAAGGCCAAAGCTCCATTATAGTGGTTCATCCGCGTGTACCCATCAATAAGACCAGTCCATGAAACCACATTCTTTATTGGCATCACATCAAAGAGATATTGAGCAACACCAAGCTCACCCCACTTTATGAAACCCGTAATCAAAACGTTCCATGTCACCGAGTTTCTGTCAGGCATTTCATCAAACACTTTCTGAGCTGGCTTCAAATACCCACAATCAGCATACATGTTAACCAAAGCAGTTTGCACGTAAACGTGGAACTCGAAGCCTGCTTTGATAGTGAGACCATGGAGTTGAATACCTATTCTGGGTCGCTGTACATTAGCGCAGGCTTTTATAAGGAAAGAGTAAGTGAAGCTATCAAAAGAGATGGTTTGGTATTGGTTTTGGTGTTGGTGTTGTATGTGTTTGAAGAGTAAGAGAGCTTCTTCAGGGACGTGACTAAGTGAATAGTGGCGGAGCAGAGTGTTAAAGATTGTCAAGATTGGGGTTGTGGTGGATAGACCTGAGAGTAAGTTGGTGGTGATTAGTTGAGTGTGGACTTGTTGAATGGCTGGTCTGCTGTGGTGTCTGAATAAGAGAGAAAGCAAGTGGTAGCAATGCTTGTGCGTCATTTCCTAGGAAGCACGGATACTCCAAGCAAACACATCAAACAAAGTGCGAAAATAGAACCTGAAATAGCCATAGCAAGTACACAACTATCAACCGACCACTGAAAATTAACACCAATCCAATCAATAGCAGAAGCCTCACATGAACCGGCAACAGCAATGGCAGAGCTCCCCATAAGTACCCACATACCCTAATTTCTTCCAGATTTCAATTACAACTCTAGGACCTATGGTCGGAGCGAAACCAAAATGTTATTACCAATCTGCCGAGATTTAGGAAATTTAGAGAGAATCTAGGGGAGAGAGATGACCGAAGTGCAGAGAGTTTTCGCCTTCAAGAGAAATGGGAAGAAAAGGGCGATAAAAAAATAAAAAAGATAGAAGGCTTTGGCAATTGTAGACACCTTCTTAGTAAGGAAAACAATACGGGTTATTCCCGCTTCACAAATATTCATTCTCATTTTATTTAATTTTTTATTATTAAATTATTAAATTTATTCTTTCTATATCCACTCTATTAATAACTAAATTCACTCACATTGTATACACCCATTTTAAAAAAAAAAGAACAAAACAAAGAAAAAATAAAAATATTAACATGTATCTTACTGAAAAAATTCATACAACAAACATGAAATCAAATATATAATTATATTAAAAAGTAATACTAACACGTATTTCACTGAAAAAATTCATATTATAAAAATATTTTTGTAAGTGCATGAGATGAGATAGAGAATAAAATCCTAATTATAACAAAATATAAAGTAGCTTTACTTATTAAATAGGTGTATATAACATGGAGTTGACTTAGTTACTAATAGAGTAAGTATAAAAAGGGGTGACTCTAGTAGTTTCATAATAAAAAAATAAATGGATTAAGAATGGAGATTTATGGGAGTGGGAATAGCACTCAAACAAAACACACTTCGGTATGGAGAACCAAAAAAGTGAGGTAATGGTTGGTTTGTGTTTACAATTTTTTGTTCTCAAAATTCTAAAAATAAAGAAAATATGTTTGGTTAGATTTTTTTAATCTCTAATTTTCATTAAAAAGTGAGAATTGAGATGAAGTTTTAGAGAATAAATGTTGGGTGTTTTTGCCAAATTTGGGAATCGATTTTTTGAAAAAACAATACTACAAAATTCAAATAAAATTCAAAAAATTATATCCCAAATGCATATCACTTCTTATATGAGTAGATTCATTAACTTTTACAATAAGACTCACTCACCCAACATTCATTCATGAGATGGTATGCATTTGGATTTTAACTTTTGGATTTTATTTGGGTTGTGTAGAATATTTGGCCGAGAGTACTCTCTTTTTAAAACTTATTTGGCTTTAAATACCACAGTCAGACTTATACTCCATTAAGTCCTCTTTTTCATCAAATTATTTTCATTTCGTACACATTTCAAATTTTTTTTTGCATTACCTAATTACCCCTATCATAAATATTTCTTATCATTATTAGTTTCAATACTTTCAAATATAACAACTCAAAAATTGAGAATTGTGACAGCATTAAAATTATTTTTCTATTATATATATATATTCAACAAAAAAATAATAATATCAAACAGTAACATGTTCAACAAAAAAATAGTAACATCAAACAATAACATGCTCAATGAAAAATTTAATTACAAATTTAATTATTGCAATAGAATGACATCATATGTAAATACTTAAAACTATTGTCTTGTCCACAAATTTAGTTGATCATGTTTGTACCTTGGTGATTTTTAGACTTGTCACTGTTAAGATATAAGTCACTTTTTGTATTTTACTCAAAATTATTGAACAATGTTGATATTGTTCGAAAGGGGTGTTTTTATAAGAAACTTTATGAAATTTTTTTTTAAAAAATAGAGGGTTCAAATTTTATTGATTAACAATTTTTCTTAATTTTTTTAATTGATTTTTTTTTTTTATTATTATATATTGTCTTCGGACATAAGAATTTATTTGTTACGTAGTACTTTTACGTAAAGACAATTGCTAGTAAATATATGTTATTGTTTCCTAGAGTACATAAATGACAAATCTATGCAATCTCGGTGCATATTCATGCAATCCTAGTGCCAATAAGCATCTCAAGGCAAACTTTCCAAAATTGTCCTAATATCCCAACAACTAATTTGCTCAAAATAAAATTTAAGAATTTTTATCCTGAGGGTATCATTAGAATTTACCATATGTTGAAATAAATGCACTTTGCATGTATTTCTGCATAACGTATACAAAAGAACCTCCACTTGGCAAAAGCTCAAGAAGCCTCACATCACACGGCCTCTTGCACCTCTATAAATACCGAAGGGACCCAAAAGATTAGAGCACCTGGCTTTCTTTAATTGCTTCTCTCTCTCTCTCTCTCACTCTCTCTTTCCATGGCTCAAACAAAACTACTCCTTTGCACTCTTTTCATAACATTGGTTTTATCCCCAGAAATTCCATTCAGTGAGGGAATGGATTTGAACTTAGGGAACAAAAATGGATTCCCTAGCCTCCAATCTCACAACCAGAACCCTGAGAAGGTGACCAAAAATACTGTTGAACCCAATATCAACTTGCATGGTGACAGCACAAACAAAGAAGCATACGTGCATCAGGCTGTACGTGTATCTACAACACCCATGCCGCCGAGTCAGGCACTAGCCAAGTCTCGGTCACAACCACTGGTTCAGGTGGAGGCCTTCCGACCCACAACACCGGGTCACAGTCCCGGTGATGGTAATTCCCTTCAAATTTAGGGCTATCCTGGCTAGGGATAATGCAACAACCTTAATATACATGCTTACAATATATGGTGTCTGAATATCTACAAAAATAAAAACTTATCTGGATGTACAATCCACCTTTGCCTTCATGTAATAAAATGGGATTAGTATATGATCTCATATCTGTTTGGATAAGTAATTTTGTGGGTTTTTTTCTCCTGTTTGGATAAGTAGTTTTGTGGGTTTTAAATTATTTGGTTTCCTTCTATTGGAAACATAGTTAAGGACGAATGAGAACAATGTTTGAAAGGTTGGAGAGGAAGTAAAAAGACAGAGAGAGAATGATAATTTGCTTTAACAGTCCACTAAGCTGCGAAATTATCGAACCAACTAAGTTTAAATCTGGTAAGAACTAACTATTTTTTCCACAGACTGTTTAATGGACCTTAAAACGTTGTCTTACTTTGTTCGCAGAGGTTGGCCCACTACAAGAACAAGGGTTTTTTGGGTCGGCAAAAAATCAACTTAAAAGATCACGTATTCGAGTCGGCAAATTGGGAGTCGTAAGACATAGGTGATGCAAAAGATTTTGCATTGGCAATTGACCGTCGCAAAAATTTTTGCGTCGGCTAAAACCAACGCAAAAGTACTATCGCAAAAAAAAGTTAGATTCAACACTTTTTTTTTTTTTTATCAGGAATTTTCTGTCACAACGAACACCATTCACAACATTTTAAATCTATCGCAAAAGATATTATTTGTCACAGCATGGGACCGTCGCAACAAACTCATTTACTACAGTTTTTAATCCGTTGCAAAAGATATTATCTTATTTGGGAAGTATCGATATGTTCTATGGTTGGTAATGAAATATTATACCCAACTAGAGAATTTTAATTTGGTTGACATGTCAAAAGTGTTGGTTTCAAGAAAATAAATTCAATTCAACTTAATTGGGCTTAGCTCAAAAAAAATCTCATCCCAACTATTTGATGATGATATGCCAACTTTTTGGTGAATCTGAAAGGTGTTTTCTATTTTGGAAATAAACTAAAGGTTGAATTCGGTTAATCTAGTAGGAATTTGGATTTGTAACACAAAAAATTGCATTTGTGGTGAATGAAAGGGGATTTTAAATGGAAATCAGATCAAGAACCCAAGTTTTAGTATCCCAGTCTCTCTTTGGGACCTGTATGATTGTATCTCATTTAGACGCTATCACTTTTCCCCAGTCAGAATAGACGCCGCCGTTTAAACTTATTACCAGCGTTTATGCAACATTTGTTGGTGTTTACAAACCCTAGCAATTCCAAAAATTCTTGTAGTGTTTGCAACTTGCTTCAGCAATTAAATTACGAATTATTTTAGCTCCTTCAAGAATAGCATCGGGCCATGTACATGCCTGCACAGCAATGTCGAGCCCGGTTTGTCCAGTGAGTAGCACTCTGGCCCTCTTTCCCAACAAGTAAAATTGATCAATTTTGGCAAACAGAGAGGAAAACAATTAATATCACTATTGGCGATCTTTTTCAAACAACGCCTTCTTTTTTGTCCGACTAAATAGGCCCGACACAGGAAGCTGGCCCTCCATCTCGGCCCATCGTCACACAAAGATGAAAATTTTGATATTTTTATAGGGAAGTAAATTAGTTAAATTAGATAATAAAAAAGAAATAGCCCGCTTAAAGGTCCCTTAAGGTCAACTCCTATTGGAGACTCGTTCTTTACCCATTAGGGTCAGCCTTATGGATAACCCGTTCATGGCCTCCCTTTCTTTGGGTGGATTGGCCCAACCTAAATCCGACCCGAGAGAGAGAGAGACCAATATATAAAGGCTAGCATGTATTAAACAAGATACAAATTTTGCCAGATAGGTAGGATACAAGAGTAGNCCAGAGAGAGAGAGAGACCAAAATATAAAGTCTAGCATGTATTAAACAAGATACAAATTTTGCCAGATAGGTAGGATACAAGAGTAGCAAATCCTCAATCCAAACTCGCAAACTTAGCCACAAAACATAACTCACAAACATTTACTCAGACGATACTAAGCATTTACCAACCAATCAGAACACTTCTTAATTATTGCATAATATATATAGTTACTACGAAAGGGCATGGCCTCTGTGTCTATGGTTTGAGAAGATGTGCATCAATATCCTTAAGGACAGTAGCTGCAAAGTCCAAACATTTTCTGGGCGTAGCGACATCCTCATTGAGCTTCTCGTAGTCTGTACTCCATTTCACCAAGCTGCCATCGCCCTTTGACGTAAATNATCGACATCCTCATTGAGCTTCTCGTAGTCTATACTCCATTTCACCAGGCTGCCATCGCCCTTTGACGTAAACTGAGCGATGGACTTGCAGCTCTTGTAATCCTTCATGACATCTCCTTCAAATATGTTGAAAATGATAGTCTTNCGTACAGGATCGTTCTTCCTTTCCCAGGATCTTCCTTTGCCGTTCCAGGTTGCCACCGTACCTTGTAGGCTGTTTCAAGCAGTGTGTTTGGCCACTCAACCGGCTCACTCAAAGTTCACCAGGGGAGAGAGCTGTTCCCAATATTTTATACATCGTGCAGGATCTAGCCCGCACACAATTGTTAGTTAAAAAAGGCCAACAAATGTGCAGTCTCAAAAAAAGGACGCCAGTTAAAAAACAATCATTCAATTTTGTTTCTTGCTGTTTTTTATTATCGGAAAATGAGTTTATCTATCTGTCTAGTTTTTGTAGAAATTCCCAGTGCAATTCATAGTAGTTACACAAACTCCAGTTATTTCCTATAGTTCATTTGTAAAAAATAGTTGTGCCTTGCTGATTTAATGTCTCTATTGTTGTTCAAGGTCGATAATAGGGTGGAAAAGACCATCAAACCCGATGATTGTTAATAATATTCCTTATCATTTTCTTTTTTTTTGGAACATTCACTTAGGGTGTGTTTGGATCGTGGGTTAAAGGAGGATAACATTAGCAAGATACGAGAAAAAATTATGTGGGGCTCATGTATTCTGTGTTTGGTAAGTAAAAAAGTGCACCGAAAATCTTACTTGGGTTTATCCTAATCCAATTTGAAAAGTCAAGTTTAACCTACTTATATGGGTTAGATGGAACCAAATGAGGGGCTGAGATATTTTTTCNCCGAAAATCTTACTTGGGTTTATCCTAATCCAATTTGAAAAGTCAAGTTTAACCTACTTATATGGGTTAGATGGAACCAAATGAGGGGCTGAGATATTTTTTCCACAAACCGGATAATCGGATAAGTGTAGAAAATGACATATTTACCCAAAGCCAATAAGTCATGAGTCTTACTCTTACCAACGTCTTTTTCCATCCATGTATAACTCAGTACGTATATTTATATTACTATTCTATCTAGATAAATTATGCACACAAGACTATTAATATTTATAAAAAAAAAAATTCAGAAATTTCTTACTGCTCAACGAGACAGTTCATAGTGCCCATCTCATTTAAAACCCAGAAAACCCTGAACAGCTGTGAACATGGACATGAAGGAAGATATTGAGGGAACTTTTGGGGGCTTTGTTTGGATTTCTTGTGGAGTGGAAAACCCAGAAACGAATTGGTGGTTCTAGCATTGTTCTTTGTTTCACCATGGACAACCCACACATAAAAAAAAATAGTTTGGAATTGGTTAGAGACTAATTTATAGACCAAGCATGGTACTAGATTGGATAAATTAGGGGCATAACACTGATAACAGTCGGTGAAACTATATCATATCACCATTATCCATGGGATCCACAATGTGCTATGTACTACCCAAACACTAAACATGACTGGATATACTTATTTAAATCCTAACCAACTGAAAGATGGATGAGTTTAGTTTGGATAGGAAATAAAATTTTTGAAGATCTCTAATCCAGTCCAACTCTGCCATCCAAACACACCCCAAAAGTATCATTGTCATCTAAAGTAAATAATTTAAAGAGTGAATAAATGGAAGATACACGAATACTACAAGAAAAGTTTCTGAAGTAGGTCTCAAAACACTTCTAGATTGCAAATTATCCTTATTCTCAGAGTTTGAACAAAACCGCATTAAGGAAGAAATGTAATTAGCAACATCGAAGAATTTAAAAAAAAAAAAAACTTCCTGGACCAACCCTAGACACTCTAAGATCCTTTTTTAAAACTGCTCCTCCACATTTGGAGTATTCTATTTTCACGCAATTCACAGGGCGAAAATTTGAGTGACTGAAGCTAAAGTAGCTACTTTCGAAATAACAGAAAGAAAAGCGACCCCAGGGAGAACTGTTGCAGGTTGAAACCTAAGGGCTATTCAAAGACATAAATGACAGTAATATAACAATCCATTGGGTTATATATATGACCTTAGTGATATAATTAATAGGTAAAACTTAAACAAAAGATTTGAGCAACACAGAGACATGAACCATTCCCATAAACCACGTAGAACAGATATTGGGTATGTGGTGTGCTCTGTCCCTGAATATCTGATAAAGTTTATCTGCAGAAGACTTTGACTCTATTTCAATCTCCTCCTTACCAACTAGAGCCATATATATATTTTTTTCTAATCTTGTGAACACAGAGAAGCAAAATGACTGTAAGAACTTCCAAATGCAAGAGGCAAGGTTGGAGAAAATACAACAATTCTTGGCATTTTTATAGAAGAGCTCCATTTGCAGTAATGCTATCCAAATTAAAACCCAAATTTTCCATTGCACAAGGATGTGTATCACAACTATCATTTTGTGGGTCCCAAAAAATCAAGTTTTTTTTCACTTAATGTGTGGTGTAAATACATTTGGGATGAAAATTTTGAATTTTGATTTGAACAACATAGCATTCCTCTTTGTATTTTCCCAAGGGTGATGCTATACAAGCAGAAAACTTGAATAGATTTTTTTTTTACAGGGCGAGGGGGTGTCCGAGCCTCCTTCGATTTTTGTTGTATGATCCAAGTTAGATGTACATAATCATAGCACACATGTACAGGACTATCTCTGTCGACTTAAAAAGTATTGAGACACATCCATCAT